GCTGAATCCAAATAAAATAAGCAGAAAATTGTTCGAGGTCAGCAAAGTGGGGAAACCATGCGGTTTCTCAGAAACAGTCGGTTTTTCACGTTTTTCTGTTTTTACAAGTTTTCTGCTGTACAGTTGATGTTAAAAAACCTTTAAAGGCGATATTCTTGATCAGCTCGACATGCTCTATCCAACCATGTATAATTCGACCAGATTCATTTTATCACTAACCTTTTGAATTTCCGGCACCTTATTAGAGATATATTCCTGCTGCGATTATCTCCAAGAGATGTGCAGAAAAAAGTTTAGATTCGTATGAGATTACGAATGTTTTACACTAGTTTTTTCTTGTGTTTTATTTCAATATCAAGAAAGGGCGAGCGTAATGCGTTGTTAACGTATAATTTGATTTAATAATTTATTAATTTATGGTCAACATGTTATTAGTGTATACTATAGAAATAAGAAGAACAAGAGATTTTGTTTAAATTTTTTTTAAATAGTTGACAATTAACGCTCATGTTTAATTCTAATAACACAGATAATTTTCTGACAGAGAGGAGTACAGAAAAATTAAAAACCAAAAAATCATAATTAAAATTGGACGGGTTATGTACGGATATAATACAGAAGTTACTACGGATCAAGATCAGAACCTATTTCTTTATGTATAGGGGTCGGGGGATTTTCCAAGCACAGAAGCAGCGGATCCAGTCGATTAGACCTGATCGTTAGTTTTCACTGCTATGTCGACTTTCGCGAGTTTCGGACAAAAAAGAATATCGCTAGAAAAAAAGAACGGAGAAAGTTAAAAAATGGATGATTTCAGTTCACCCTTGGTTTCCTTCTCTAATGCGTCGAATCGATTTAACTCTCGCAGTTGGTCTTTATTCAGTTTGATTTGTATGTTTTCAATGTCAAATTTTCTTAAAATAACTAAATGTTTGAGCTCCTTCACTCGTGATAGTGGTACGTACGCTTATGCAACTGGAGGTTTGGCCGGTTTCGGAGGAAAAACAAGATCCACAACGATTCTGGGCTTCGTTTGTCCCTGACTTTTGCACAGATTTCATCTCGTTATTTGGGTCTATAACTCGTGTTATGAGTAAATCATGATCATCATGCGTACATTCGCCTTTCCGAAGACGTTGAAGAAGTTGCAGATATCTTAAGTCAGTTGTTCTCATCTACTTTTCTACCTTTACTACAGTGTTTATTTGTTCCCACAGTGCTCGTCCCGTGCGCACGTAGCAACACGTATCTCTTTGATTTTTTTCTTCTTCTGTGTTTTATGGGAAATAATGTCGGAATACAATAATGGTCCCCCACAGGATCATACTGGATGAAATCTCCAAAGAATATGATGTTAATATCTTCAAATGGTATACTTGGGTCACAGTGCTTGCCTAGCGTCAACAAACCAACAAGTTGTCCTAATAAGTAAAGACCCACCATTGACATCTCATCAATGATTATATATCGGATATTTCGCCAGCATTTTCGATCGTTGTTCGTTGAGCTGCGCTTACCTTTCTTAGATTTCTGTATGATGTGAAAGATTGAATTGTGAGACCGTCAATCTGGGCTGCAGCATTCGGTGTTGGTGCTAGTTTTCGTAGTTCATGACTGCGTTTTGTTATTGAAAAATATTCTGTAATTGCATAAATCAGTTGAGATTTTCTTGTACCACCAGGACCAGCTACACACATTAATAACTGATCTTGTTCATTGCCTGAAGTACAAGATGAGACAGATATTTAAGATCGAAACAAAAAGGTTAAATGTTACCTTTTTTCAAATGGTTGCCTCCATTGATATGATTGGTAATGACCATAAACGCGCGAGTTTGAGCTTCGTTCAACGTGAATTGTTTGGATATTTGTTGCTGGTGTTTGCGAAACGATATAGCTGACATGGTTGTTACTTGTTCGGTTAGTAATTGAATATCACTTTCATCATCTAGGTCTGCCACATTTTGATTTACGTTCGTCACTTCTGCAATCGAATGTGATTAGTTAGTTGTTTTTGTGGTATGGTTCCGTATTCATAGTGGAATCAGTTTGATTAGCCGTCGTTGCTGCTGACAAATGAGGGACTGTGCTTCGATTTTCTCTAAAAGAAGGCAAAAAATATTATGTTCATTCTTCTTTGTGCATGACATGACATACTTGTCAAACGTGAAAACCCAGCTCCTTGAACCGAAAGAACTGCTGTTTTAATATAAGGTGCAGGTAATGCAAAGTTTCAGTGGAATCTGTTTCTGGCTTTATTATACATATTCAGATTCAGCTTAACGAGCTGATTACGAATAACACCTTCCGAGCCTTCAAAAGCCATTTCTTCATAGAGAAAAACTCAAATTACTGAGAGGATCTCAAAAATACAAAAAACCGTCCCCTATGGTGGAATTGACTTTTTGAGCTTGTATTGCAAGATGGAAGGTTCGAACTATATTTTTCTAAATCAGCATTGAAAACTGATTTAGTAAAAGGTTTTCAGTTCATTCCAGAGGTAAACAGTGGTCCGCCATGACGGTAAAAAACCGTTTCGCCAAAAGACAATTCGCCATGGCAAAATGTCATGTGCCGTTGAAAATAGTGATAGTAGTTGGAAGTATTTGTGAAGATGAAGAAGGAGGAAGGAGGTAGAGACTATGTGAAGATGTATTTTGAAAGTGTAAATATGTTTTTTCTTTTTTCT